GATAAGGGTTTACTACCAAGGCCTTCAGATCTTTACCCTGTTTAAGATAGGAAACCTCATTTCATGACCCTGATCTATTTCCTAAAAACTAACATTATGGGAGAAGAATTAAAAAAAACACATACGGTATCACACAAGGCCATGGATCCTAAAATACTGAAATTGTATACTTTGTCAAGACTTAAGGTCCCCCAAAACCCTCCCCTGTTCGGCACANAATTTGCCATTTTTGAAAAGTGCTGAAACCGTGATTCTTCTTGCGGCCGGTACAGTCACATTTAAACGGTTTATTTAAAGTTAACTGCTGAATTATAGAGTAAAAATGTGTGTCTGTTTTATGACTTGATTTCATCTAGAGATATTATTCCGTTTTTATGTACCAGCGCGAAGAAAATTGTCAATTTTCGCTAATTTCATACTCGAAAGAGCGTCAATTTAGAGTTTTTTAAACTTTGCCTGATTCCTGAAAAAATAAAAAGCTGTTACAAGTTTTAACGTGATTTTTGAAATTAGTGTACTATAGAGATTATTTGAGCAAAATATGAAGAAATTCAAAAATTCACAACTGTCAACCAATTCTTGAAAATTACAGACATTGGCTCTTAATAATTTGCTGTAATAAAAATTTCATTAGTGCAGAAAAATGTATAGTCTTTAAATACATGTATTAGAATTCCTTAAGGTAGCAGGGGTGGGGGTGGGAAGTTTGGATAAGGGTTTACTACCAAGGCCTTCAGATCTTTACCCTGTTTAAGATAGGAAACCTCATTTCATGACCCTGATCTATTTCCTAAAAACTAACATTATGGGAGAAGAATTAAAAAAAACACATACGGTATCACACAAGGCCATGGATCCTAAAATACTGAAATTGTATACTTTGTCAAGACTTAAGGTCCCCCAAAACCCTCCCCTGTTCGGCACATGCTACAGTGGTGTAAACCAAATACGGGACTGCCCAACCCCATTGGGGTACACCTTGGTATCATCCAGACAGTGGAGTCCAGGACTCCCCTCCTTCTGTCAGCATACCCCTGGGGTAAATGCTCATGTAAGATAGCATTAATGCTAAAGAGGTTAGGAAATTTTGAGACTATGGGTACCTATGCTTTCCATTCAGCCCAAAATTCCAGAAGTTTCAGAGGAAATCAAATGGACCGGACCATTTTAGTTTGGCCTGGTCAGAATATTAAGCTGGTCCCCTATGACTGGTCTTGCTGGTCGGACTGAAATGTCCCTTTTCATTTTACAAATTTGTTGTCTCCATTTCTGTTCTTCTGTATTCTGGTTACAAAATGACAGTACAACAACCAAATGTGTGGTGGCTTTGGTCGGGTCTGTAAAACAGGATTGTCTGTTTCATTGGGTACGTAGAATTTCAGAAATTTTAAACTGGAATATTTGTTGCATGGAAAATGCCCTAGACACAGTGTATTGTTGGTGTTTATCTGCAGTATCTTGGGTTGGCAAGACGTTTTAAACTTATTTCAAAAATTCTGAAAAATACACCGCTAAAAGGAATCATAATTATTGTTCGTTTGCATATTATAATAATAAGTAATTACAAAGTTACACCAAAGTGCCACTCATCAATACATTTCTATCTAAATGTAAAACAATGTATCTCATGGCGTTTATTTTGGGGGGTTTCAATTGTTGTAGCTTCTTTCAATGTCCACATAACCCCCTACAGGAATGAAACTTAACTCCAGTGCTTGGTGGCCAGCTGGGCCAGTTTCCTTGAATTCTCAGTCGCCAGGTCAACACTAAGTGGCCCTGAATTTCCAGTATATTTAAAGCAAAGAGGAATGTGCGTGGTCTCCCTTTCATCCAACTGTTTTGAAATGTTCGTGATCTTTTGTTTTTTTGTAATTAATTCTGTTCTATTCCTGCTCATCCTCCTTATGTTGCTTTTTTGCGTTGGAGGTGGCTCACAATCAGAGATAAATCTGCACATTTTACCGGTCTTTTCCAGTTGATTTAGTATTCAGGGGCGCCCAACATCAATTTTCGGAAAATATCTGTTTGGAGGACCGTGATTTGAGATCTAGAATTTTCGGAACATTTTTTGTAAAATTTCTTGCTCCTGCCTCTCCTCGGACTTTCGAACATCTAAAAAATGGTATAATTACCCATTTTTAATGGATTTTTACCCTAGAAAGGTCACCTAGAATTTTCGGGAGCCTTTTTTCAGGCTGCAATTTTCGAAAAGGTAAGTTTTGATCCCTATAACTTTCGGATCACTAGACTTTCAGGTAGGAAATCCGAACAGATGAAGAATTTTTAGGGGATAAAAATATGCCTATACCTACCGTTTAAATAGTAAAATACATTTAACAATGGTACATGTATGTTTAAATGGTTTTGAATTATTGTCTCGTTGGGTGCCCCTGAATATTCCAAAGCTGCCAGAAAAATGGAAGCGACGAAAGCAGACAGCAAAGTACTATGCGTAAGACTTGAGTCACGTGAGAAAAATCAAAATGGCGTCTCACAGATCGGTTTAATCCTTTTCCATTTAAAACAATAAAATGTTCATAGGACTCAAAGAAATTAGACTCATGGCAAAGAAAGAAAGGTAGTCAAACTAAACAACTTGTCATTTTATTTTTATTTTAAGCTCGTACTTGCAATCGTAATATAAGCTTACATCAGGCTAAATTCGAATTTATATATTTTTTATCTTAGACGCCCCTCGGGCGATTCAACCACAATTTTTCATCGCCCAGCTACATTTTAAGTTGCCACTGGCGACCTGGTGACCGCCAAGTTTCAGCCCTGCCCCTACCCCCCATAAGTTTAACACATTACCCCAAAAATGACCTCACAACAGTTACTGTATTTTATAACTAAGAAAGACAACAATATCTATTTTTGTTTTAGGGCAAAAAATTCTAGTTTGATTCAGAATTTTCTTTGTTCTTAGCTTTAATATTTAAGGAGACTGTCCTGGTTTAACAGGAGAATACGGTTTACGTACAACTTTTTCAAATTTGGCTTAATTTGCCTGTATTTGGACTCAAATTAAGGATGTTTAATACACTAATGCATGTGAATTACCCAAATTAATTTCTAGGGAGAAAGATCAGACTGGACCATTCCCAAAATTATACTCCCACAAAAATGAAGGGTTAAATAATATTGTACTTGATAACATCGCACCAATATTTACAGTGTGCATGTACTTTTTTTATTCTTCTATTGCAGTGTTCATTTCTGCAGTGTTAAAAGTTTTTTAGAATTCCTATGATGTCCAGGCTGTTGGAGGTAAGTCAGAGAATTGAGCATCTGTTAGTTGTTTTAAAATAGTGTTTGTCTAGTAAAGATCTTTTTTTCTTGGTATCTTCAATCTCAAGTTGTAAGATTTGAGGTTTGACAGGTTTTTCTAAATCTTGGTGGAGGGATAGTCATCACATCAGACACTGAATTGGGGATGGGGGGGGGG